ATGTTACATTTTTAATAATTTCTGAATTGTTTTTTGCGATACTTCCAAAATACTTTTAATTGCTTTCTTTTTTGCATTTTATACTGCACACAGTGACTAAATATAACTGAACTTCTACTTAGGAAAAACTGTTTGTATTTTTGTTAAACTAACGTCTTCGGCAGTGTTTCCTAAAGCTCAGTCACATAAATCACACATGTGGTATGAAGCTACTTTAGCAGCAAAATTCAAACCAGTTTTCCGAGCTTCCTGCTTTCTAACCGGGCAAATCCTTATCTGCAGCAAACTCTCCTTTTTTTTTTTTATCTTAAACAGCATTGACAATCATCACTTACCAATTCCCTTCTTTAGCTAAACAGACATTCCAGCGTGTGTTGTCTGTCACTGGGGTTGAAAATTGGGGAATGGGCTGGAAATTGGAACCATCGAGGATGCCGTCCTGGAAAAAAGAGGAAATCAAAGTTAAATGAGATCATGCATGCCAAGAGAATGTTTAACCAAAGGGCAAAAAGGAAGCTGGAGATAACAGAGAAGAGAAAACCGCTTAATGTTGTGTTACTGCAGTCTGTTTGGAGTCATGCGTGTGTGTGTGTTTGAAGGAAAGAGGGGGTGTGTTACTTGTCAATACACATTAAACTGTCATTTTATACATCTGTAAAAGTATAGGTGTGTAACATGTCTGTATTTTTAAGTAAATACACGACAAGCTTTGTGTGTTTGACGATTTATGAGATCAAGAATACAAGCATGTGCACAGACTCAATAAAAATGTGTTTTCTAAAAGCCACGCAGGAATGTGAACACGTTATATTTACCAATTTTTACTGTGTGAATGTGCCAGTGTGAAAATAGGCGACAACAAGAACTGCAAAAGTTCATCCCATAATACAGTGTAGAAAAAAATAATGTTTGAAGTGGAGCAGCACACAATTCACTTTGAGCCCGCGATTGTGCTGAGCTCCAGTGAGGCAGATTTCCCACGACAAGATCACTTCAAACGACTGGAATCCTGCCCCATCCACAGTGTTTGTGCTGAGATGACAGACAGACACATGCTTTTGTTTTAACAAAGGACATTAGAGCAGGGAGAGCAGTGAGAAGAATGAGGGTGTTAATCTTTACTCTTTTGTCTACACTGTTTTCATGAGACACTTCAGCCAGATATCACAGGGACGAAACTAAATGCAGGGTTCAGAGGTCAGGTGATATACAGTGATATATATAATATTTTTATTTACACTGTAAACCTGTGGCTGGGTACAAACTGCATAAAGTTCATATTTGACTTCCTCAGGGGCACAATCAGGAAGTGTTAGTGCCACCTGAGTGGGGGTAAAACAGGGATTACGAGAGAAAGTTAT